TAATGAAGATCAAATGGCTGGCTGACTGGCCAGAAAGAATTAGCAACAAGGAACTATGGTAACAAACTAACTTATCTCCTTAAAAGTATGTAGAAGAAAATAGAAATGGATCGGACACGCCACTGAGGAGACCATCGGATGACATCGCGCGCCAGGTCACTGGTCGGATGGAACCCGAATGGGAAACGATGAGTTGAGCCTATATCCGCAGGCAACAAGGAGGAGTTTATTTAGGGAGGAAGAGACGAGAGACCATGGGAAATCTTCAGCCTGGCTAAAGAGGATCTCAGAGAATAGGACAAAGTGGAGATGTGCTGCTGAAGCTGAATGTTCCATTTGGATGCCAAGGGAACAATAGTAATAATCATACAATAATATATCATTTTATATATATTTTTTTCAGCTTTCTGTGAAGTTAGAATTTATCGTCTGATTGACTGATAAGTTGACTAACCAAAATGAATAAATGGAAGGATAAACTAAGGAAATTAGTTCATTCAGGAGTCTGAGTCTACTTAAATGTGCTGAATAATTGACTTTTAAGGTGCAGTTTTACAGGAATATGCATCCTACCAAGTTCCTACCTCATATACAGTTAAGGTGGGTGGGGGATGACTGAAAAACATTTTTTATCCGAAATTAGTCAGTTGTCCTTGTCAAATGATCATAACCTAAATCCCTCTAAAGTTTAGGTTGTTGATTTCACGCTCAAATGTAAGCACGACTTTGCACGGTTCAACTATAATAGATGATAAGGAAGTTGGAACTAAAGTGGAATGTCAGATATCTGGGATTGTGTATTTCTTGTAATCTTTCCTGGTCTTCACACATCATGTTAGCTTTCAGAAATATATTTCAATTGACATTCTGTGTACGGAAGTTAAAACGATCTGGTATCACTCATTGTCTACTTTTTAAGCTTGTTAATACTTGTATTCTGCCTACCCTTCTTTACTGCTCCCTACCCTACCTTAATCTTGACCAGGCTACTTAAAAAGGAATACTTTGATTTACCGCGAAGGGCACTAAAAAGCCGTTAGTTGGGTGAATGGGGAGTGGCTAAGCTAAACAAACCTCTACAATACCTTATTTTGGTGAGGACATGGTTTATGTGATAAGAAAAGTGTAGGGCAGGAGATCAGTGACTTACTGCGGAACTCTAAGTTAGCGGCCCCATCTTACTTTGTCATCTTTACATTGTTGCCAATATTTTCACTCACATCTAATTTTATATCCATAGTAATATTACACGATATTATCAGTGTAAGTGTCCTGTAATGAAAAAATTAGATGCTGTACTGAACTACATGCTCAGAATTCCATATTTGTACGCAAAATACTGTTTGGAATAAGCTATTATTATTATTATTATTATTCATGAATCTCTAGCAATTAGTTCTCAACATTCCTTGGACCTTAGTCTACTAACCTACCTACCCCCGCGGAACAAGGATAAGACAAATAGTCAAAGACTTCATTGACTAGTGTTTTATTCTAATAATCTGACGACTTCCAAGTCTATTCTGAAACTATCTTATTTCGAGGAATGCAGTGATTCAACACGTGTAACACATACTCTAGGTATTCAGATGAATTCAATTTCACACAATTACAGCCTAAATCTCTACGCTTAACCGCATAATCACTGACTACGTCAAATCGTCTAACATAGGAGAATGAAAGGAAACACCTTCAGTGGATATGTCCTACATTCGTAGACTTAGACGAAAAAACCTCCTGTACAGTATACACGTCCTTTGTTAAGTAAACGGATACGGTATCAGTACTAATATATGTCTAAAACTTGGGCGCTGTTGTAGTAAGTAATTCCATATTAGTTTGTTTATTAGATGTATCACACAGTCAGTGAAACAGTATTATTTACTGGATGACAAGGTTTCAAACAAAATTTATTACTGTTAATAATCATATCCCCAATTATTATCACACGACTTCGAAACTTGAGTTTTATAGTTTTCTTTTTTCTCTCCTATTTCTCGTCGTAGGGGTAGTAGAATTTTCCAGATGTCTGGGTGGACAGGTGTTGAATCATTCCTATCACACGTATTCTCCTCAGATGGTTCGGCAACACAAAGCTTCTGTTGTCAATCTCTCTCTCTCCACTCTGTGACATTAGATTTTAAAACTGTCATCTTATCCCATCCTGTTGTGTGGTTGGTTGTGTGTAAATGCATGTAGTGCAATGTTATAACTGAACTACTCTCTAGATTTCTTATCTTATTTGGGTAAACCAATCTAGATTTTGCTAGGTTTTTATGTTCGGATTGATCCTTCAACCGACAAAGTCTGTTTCCAATTGAGTTTGTTTCCTTTCAAGCTTTTGGCTTTCGAGAGATTTGACAAGACTAATCCTTTTATTATTACTTCTATTTACCGTTACGTTATTAACATATTCAATGAACATCAATTGTAATTCCTGAGGTAAATCATCAACTGAAAATTGTCTTTGTGATATATTCCTTTCTAGATCATTTATAAAAGTTTTAACAGAATCAATCTGATTTAAGAGCATGTCTTTTTAAATTCTTAGAATTAGGATAAATCCTCATTCGTCTTAATGACCTCCAATATAGTTTCGGATAACGTTCGGTTTCTACACATTCTTTGAAAAATTCCAACGATGATTTCGCTTCAGCGAGCCTTGCACTAAACTTCAGGTACTCATTGAGCGCCTTAAATGCAATAGGATCCCCGCGAGATTTCAATATATTAAATATTCCCATAGTCAAATTTAGAACAACACATTTAAGCGAACAAAATTGTGGTTTCAATTAGATCTCATCAGACTTAACTCTAATATATATAAGTTTACAAATAAACATTCAAATATAAACCAATCATGGTGTTTTGTCTATAGGATAATACGATAGTGAATATAAATTGTGCAATTAGTCATAATAGTGGTAATGATAATATTAATAATAGTAATAATGGTCTTATCAATAATAAGGATGAAAAAATGAGGCAATCTGTGATAACACGAATAATGAAAAACAGTATGATTAAACAAACAATTGTTCAGGTGGAAGTAGTCGATAAAAGCTAGTAAAAACAAATGAACCGATTACGTAATGTTAGATTGTAAGGGAAGGAAATGAAGCGCGTTTATAATGAAAATAAGATTAAGGGATGATAAGAAAGGGGTTGGAAATATAAATAAGGGGTGGTGTAGAAGTCTTTAGTTGTTTATGTCTTATTAGGCCACGGGAGGGATAATGGCTGTACGAACTTCTTTTGAATGCATAGTTTAGGTTTAATAGTTCGAATGCCTACCGCCTCAGCTGTGTGCAGTAGACGAATACGAAGTCTATTAGAAAGATTCGGTGGAATACGATGAATTACTTTGAAGGTTTTCGTTTTATCGACTACATGACCACTATCAATTAGATGTGACAGAATTGAGCTACGGATTGTTTTTGTCTGTCCTTTGCCAAACCACGATGGGAGATGTTCACTAACACGTTGGCTAAGCTGTCTAGTAGTACGCCCAATATAACTGTCACCGCAGGTGCAGTTGAATTGATAAATACACATAGATGTGGCGAAACTGTCAAGCTTATCCTTCGTTTGCGTCCCAATCATTCGTCGGCTAGAGAATGACAAACAAAGGTGTGCTGCGTAAAATGTTCTACGTATGCTCCTTGAAAGTCTTTGGAATAGAATCTCACTAGATAAGTCACTATTAAATTGTAACTTAATAAATAGAGGTTTCTTATGTGCAGTCAGAGTCACAGGTTTTTTCTCTGATGGTTTCATATGTTTCTTTATGAAACTATTCGGATAACCCATCTCCGTCAAGGAGTCGTGAATATATTCAAATTCCTTTTGTAAGAGGTCCTCCGTACATATCTTCCTTGCTCTGCTTGCGAGACATTTTACAAGATTCCTTTTATATTTAATGGGCACGTAACTAAGGAAGTGTGTGTATTATTTTGTTTCAAGGCTTCTCTTATATGTGTAACATCCTGTTGTATATGTTCCTTGGTACTGCTTAGTTTTGTCAGTTAAATGATCCTGTGAAGTCTTTAAAACAAAACAATTTAGTTTATCTTATACCCCTGCAATTACTGTCAGGTCAAATACATATGTCAAACTAGTAGAACAGGGGCAGTCAGACTAGCCGGCATTAAAACCTAGCAGCGATATCTAGATTAGTTGACCCGAATATGATAAGAAATCTAGAGAATAGTTCAGTTATAACATTGCACTACATGCATTTACACACAACCAACCATACAACAGGATGGGATGGGATAAGATGACAGTTTTAAAATCTAATGTCACAGAGTGGAGAGAGAGAGATTGACAACAGAAGCTTTGTGTTGCCGAACCATCTGAGGAGAATACGTGTGATAGGAATGATTCAACACCTGTCCACCCAGACATCTGGAAAATTCTACTACCCCTACGACGAGAAATAGGAGAGAAAAAAGAAAACTATAAAACTCAAGTTTCGAAGTTGTGTGATAATAATTGGGGATATGATTATTAACAGTAATAAATTTTGTTCGAAACCTTGCCATCCAGTAAATAATAATACATTTTCACTGACTGTGTGATACATCTAATAAACAAACTAATATGAAGCGATATCACTACCAGAGATGAGTCAGTTTTTCAAATGATAAATGTGCCATTTCTGTCTATGATGAGATTTCGTGACCACTTCACACGTCATTAAATGCTTCTTCTTCTCTACTTACATGAAACGTTTTAAAAATAGGTTGAAATCGTTAGTAGTGAGTCAATATTTCAGTAGTAAGATGCTTGTCAGCCATGTTAGAGGTCTGGAATCGAGTCCCGGCTAACAAACTCCTAAACCACTTATTTCATCGGTTGATGGTAAGCCTAGAGAAAAGCGGAAATTCGGCGGTATTAAAACTTCACAGTTTGACGCCCTATGTTGCACTCAGAAGTCAAGAAATGAGGAGAAAGAGGAAAGTCTAAAAACAGACCAAAAGTACCAGCACGTTACTCACTTCTGTATCCAACGTCCAGATAAGTTCTTCTTCAAATACCTGTTCAATATCCTTGGACATAGTGACTTCACGTCGAAAACCACCATTAGCTTGTACAGACATACTTGGTGGTCCAATTTGTAGATTTATATTACCACCTTTGACAACAGCTTTTTGTAAACTTAACCGACAAGATGAACTTGTACGACGTTCTGTTCTCAAGTGATTCGTTTGTGTTTCACTTGTATTATTTGTAAATACAGATGAAAAGAGGACATGACTTTTGAGATTCTTTTTTACTGTTGGCGCCAAGACTGTTGTTGTCGTGGTCGACGGTGGTTGTGATAGTGCTACTGTCGAATTCTGTTCTAAATCTCCATTTATTAAATTTGATGAAGTCAAGTATTCCGTTTCTTTATGAATAATTTGTAAACGTGTAAAGTCGATGTCAGTTAGTTGGATATCATCTAAGTTAATTCGTGATTTAATATCTTTAGCTAGTGGAAATTGGGTCACATAGTCAATGATTAAATCGCATATATCAACTGTTTTACGTCCGCTAGGTTGAGGATTTGTAATCGTCTCTTTTTTATAAAATCCAGACATTTAGAAATCAATAATTGAATGTGGTAATAATAATAATGACGGTGTTACTTAGAATGAACTTGATGACGATGACAATCTCTGAGATATTACAAACATACTTCAATTAGTCAGTCAATTTCAGTTTAAATCACGTATCAAGGCTGTTGTCAATACAGCCAATAGCGTATGTGATTTTAAATCTGTGTTAAAGGGGCAGGTTATTATTATTACATTACAATTGAATTATTGAATAATATACATATAGGAAAATGAACCAATCAGATTCACTCTTCACTGTATACACATATGTATATATATATATTTAATATGCTTAATAATCGTTTTAAAATGAACTAATTCTAGTTGTTTTAAGGGGTCATTTAATGAATACAGGGTATAGGAATAGTATAAATGTTTATTTGTTTATTTCTCTAATGTTATAAAGAGCTAAATTCGAAATATTGATTTATGACCGCCAAGTTTAATTTTAATTAAAATCTATTTAAAATGTGGAACTAAAGTTAAGAAAGACTAGCCAGTTGATAAAATCTAAGTTAGTTGAGAATGTTTACTGCATAACAGAAGAATATTCGCCCTGTAAGGATTAGAGAATAGAGAAAGCTTTGATGGTAATAGGCATCAAACCCTCATCGTGATATACATGTGTATATCAGCGAAAAAAATTGTGACCAGCGGGGTTCACCAAGAGGTCGGAAGTGAGGACAAATACTCGCCGGCGATAACATTAGCTTGTGCCAGTCGTGCTATGTCGTGCGTGAATTGGCAGAAGTTAGAATTCATGGGCTGCCGGTCATTGAAGAGTCGGATCCCTCTTGGCTGAATGGACTACGGGTGGGCTTGTCTTGTAACCAGAAGGTTGTCAGTTTTGAACCCTGGCAATGCGGGGGTGGGTGCGTACTGATGAAGAGTCCGAAACTAGGTTGTTTCATTCTAGTTGTCCAGTGCTCCCAAGTTTTTCAATGGTTCTCTCCCTAACTGATGTCACCTCGTGGTGAAGTCTTGTAAGCAATTAAATCCCTGAAAACCAACACCTGAATGTCCCCTTATTGCCTAATCAGAGATGCATCATCATAGATAATCAATAAGTTTCAAAATCACTGCGTTTCCTCTTTTTATCATCATCACAGTTAGATATCAGTTCCACACTTATTGAAGATCAAATTGTACTGAAGATCTCAAGTATATATATGTGTACATTAAGTTTGTCAAACAGAATTACAATTGGTTATTTTAACTAAACAGGTGAAGATCGGTTATACAAGTCAAGAAAATGAGGTGTTAATGAAATTAGGGTAGTAACAAAGGTGATGGGTTGTCACCTGCTGCTGTGGAGCCAGGTACATCGGTCGTTCGACGTGCACCCTGTACAAGAGGATTCAAGAACACTATCCAGCCAGCATGGTTGCGAAAAGGCAATAGTGGTGCAATAAGGAGTGCGATAATTGAACACCTGGTTAACACTGATCATTCCATTTCAACAAACGCCTCCTGCTTCAAAGTAATCTACAGAGTCAAGAATAACCTATCAAAGGCAATACGGTTTCGTCTTCTTTGTATCGCTGAAGCTCTGGATGTCCATTCACATAGGAAAACCGGAGCTGTGCATGCAAAACGGGATTACTCAACCACTTCTATTGTCATGGTAACTACTTTTTGTGATTTTGATGACTTAATTTTGTTTGTTTGCCTGTTCTTTAATTGCTTATAATTCTTGTATATTCATTTGGAACTCTTGCGCAATTTCGTATTCTCTACTTTGTTTCTACGTGCATCTTGAGTAAAACTCACTCATCAAACTATTTGTATTATTGCATAACTTCTTTTAACAGCTGTTTGTGACAACTCATCACCTTTGTTACTACCCTAATTTCATTAACACCTCATTTTCTTAACTTGTATTACTAGTCTTCACCTGTTTGGTTAAAATAACCAATTGTATTTTTGTTTGACTAACTTAATGTACACATACATACGCGATTGTACAGCTAAGAAAATGAATTCGCCGCTGCCGAAAAGAGTCTCTTCGTTGATCTACGTGTTTTGTTTTCATTATTGCCTGGATGGGGATTATCCATGAATTTCACTGATAATCTGTTTAGATTCTAGTCCAGTTGGAGTAGTTCAACAAAAATAGACCGTTTGATTTCAAAAATTGTGTGGACAGCAATTTAGGTCATGAAGATATCGATTGAAAAAAAAATAACCAAATAGGCTAGAAGAAGTGAGGTTTCAAAGATTAATAATAATAATAATAATTAGTTAGTTATTTCGTGTCTGACACTATTTTCATCACATAAAATACGTGCCAAATATGGTATCTCGTGATTTTTATACTTAGACGTGTATGTTTGAAGTCTTTTGACGAAATGGCTTCATGTCCTACTTGAAGAGATCCAGCAAGGTGAAAGTTGCGGGTAAAGTGGATGTCCACAGTCTGACAAAATCCCTTTAGCAAATTTATTGCATGAAATTAAGTGCCTTTCATCAGGGACGTTGTCAATGATAATAATGCCGCTGAAAATTCATTAACTTAAGTCTTGAATTTTGAAGCCACACATACACACACCGACGACTACCAACAATGTCACCAATGTAAGAGTTAGTAAGTTCACGTAATCTTCATAGCATTAAGCGACATGTGACTCATTTTGATATTAGATGGTTGGAAGTAATCGGCCACAGGAAGCCTTGGATCCAGGTTTCGTACTAGTTGGCACTCACCAGTCAGCAAGGCGTATCTGCAACCTTGAAGGAACTCATATCCCTTCTGAGATTCGAACCCGCGTCACCCAGAGCTGCAGTCAGAGACATTACCATTGAGCTATCAGGGCTCGTGATTGACCTCCTGTAGGACTGTAGTGGATATTTTGATTTGAGAGGGATAGACACATCACACTAGTTACTAGTGTCAAATTAAAATATCCACTACAGTCCTACAGGAGGTCAATCACGAGCCCTGATAGCTCAATGGTAATGTCTCTGACTGCAGCTCTGGGTGACGCGGGTTCGAATCTCAGAAGGGATATGAGTTCCTTCAAGGTTGCAGATACGCCTTGCTGACTGGTGAGTACCAACTAGTACGAAACCTAGATCCAAGGCTTCCTGTGGCCAATTACCTCCAACCATCTAATATCATCAAATCAATGTACATCATGATGGCGACCTACCTACAATGGTGGCCATATTACAACCTGACTGATAGTATTCAGTCTGCACATGTGACTCATTATTTTAAACAACAGAACTTCATACGAGTGACTGACAAGAAAGTTCACGCTTCTCCAGAAGTTCATAGAATGAATTTTTTCTTAAGAATCTAGCAAATACAATAAACATTCTGATGGTTGTTTTTTATCATGGTTGTGAACATGTGCAATCCCACATTGTCCTTGGATTATCGCATCATCCCCTATTAATTATCACGACTTCATTGATGTTTCATTGGAAATCGACGTCTGCTTCAATGATCAGTGAATACTAAGGATTACGGAAGACGCTGCATCTAACCATCTCCATTAAGAAATTAAGACAGTTTGGAATTATTCAACCTTTAATTTTAACACTTGCATCTTACCTGTTATTCTTTGTTACTGACCTTTAGTTTTTTTTGTGGGCTACTCGAAATAGAATTACGTCATATTGCTGAGGGTACTAAGGGCTATTAATTAGGGTAATTGTGCCATTTAGTCAGCTGGTCATTATCGTAGTCTACAGACACATGAACTCATATGAGAAGTGGTTTAAATTCATATTGTCTAACCTTCAACGCCCTCTTTACTCGCAGCTCTCCCCGCCTTTCATCTTATCAGGTAGGTTTAGGAGTCCTTATAAAAAAGACTATATGCTCGCTTGCATCACCAAGTATAAAGACCCAACGAAACCTTATTTGATCCGCCCTTGTTTTGTTTGATAGTGTTAAACGTGAAATTTACCATTTCTCGTGTAGTTAGCTTAAGAATGGCTCAGTTATTCTCCAGTAATTTGTAGTTTTATCGTGACACCATCCCCATTATCTCATAATTTTGTGTTATTAATTCATTTCTCATTATTTCTCATTCCTTTACGTCCCCATTGGAACATAGGGCTCCAAACTAGAGGCTTGAAGTTTCGGTAGCAGTGGCGTTTATTTTTATGGGATGGGCTTGCTAGTCTCATGCCCGATCTTCCCTCTTTACCAGTGTAATTTCTGGCTTAGTGAGGTGAAGGAGTGCGTCCAGCGAGGATCGAACCCTCGACCACATGCATGATTGACCAGTGTTCTACAACTGAACCACTATTGTAAGTACATATTTCCACCTTATTCTCCTTGATTTCAGAGTGATCCCTTTAGGTATCAATTTTTGGGGATGACATATATCAACCCCATAGGAATTGATAAATAGAGGTGATCTGAACATGTAACTGGTCCCCAACTACTTATATCAATCAGTAGTATATAGAGAACCTTGAAAATTTGTTTTCTATCTGAATTTTCATTAGTTTTTATATGTTCCTTGGTACTGCTTAGTTTTGTCAGTTAAATGATCCTGTGAAGTCTTTAAAACAAAACAATTTAGTTTATCTTATACCCCGTGCAATTACTGTCAGGTCAAATACATATGTCAAACTAGTAGAACAGGGGCAGTCAGACTAGCCGGCATTAAAACCTAGCAGCGATATCTAGATTAGTTGACCCGAATATGATAAGAAATCTAGAGAGTTGTTTGGCTATACCACTCACTACATACAATACACACAACCATACAATTGATGGGATGGGATAAGATGACAGTTTTAAAATCTAATGTCACAGGGTAGAGAGAGAGAGATTGACAACAGAAGCTTTGTGTTGCCGAACCATCTGAGGAGAATACGTGTAATAGGAATGATTCAACACCTGTCCACCCAGACATCTGGAAAATTCTACTACCCCCACGACGAGAAATAGGAGAGAACAAAGAAAACTATAAAACTCAAGTTTCGAAGTCGTGTGATAATAACTGGGGATATGATTATGAATAATAAATTTTGTTCGAAACCTTGCCATCCAGTAAATAATACTGTTTCACTGACTGTGTGATACATCTAACAAACAAACTAATATGAAGCGATATCACTACCAGAGATGAGTCAGTTGTCAAATGATAAATGTGCCATTTCTGTCTATGATGAGATTTCGTGACCACTTCACACGTCATTAAAAACTTCTTCTTCTCTACTTACATGAAACGTTTTAAAAATAGGTTGAAATCGTTAGTAGTGAGTCGATATTTCAGTAGTAAGATGCTTGTCAGCCATGTTAGAGGTCTGGAATCGAGTCCCGGCTAACAAACTCCTAAACCACTTATTTCATCGGTTGATGGTAAGCCTAGAGAAAAGCGGAAATTCGGCGCTATTAAAACTTCACAGTTTGACGCCCTATATTCCACTCAGAAGTCAAGAAATGAGGAGAAAGAGGAAAGTCTAGAGACACATAAAGAAAGACATACTAAAAACAGACCAAAAGCACCAACACGTTACTCACTTCTGTATCCAACGTCCAGATAAGTTCTTCTTCAAATACCTGTTCAATATCCTTGGACATAGTGACTTCACGTCGAAAACCACCATTAGCTTGTACAGACATACTTGGTGGTCCAATTTGTAGATTTATATTACCACCTTTGACAACAGCTTTTTGTAAACTTAACCGACAAGATGAACTTGTACGACGTTCTGTTCTCAAGTGATTCGTTTGTGTCTCACTTGTATTATTTGTAAATACAGATGAAAAGAGGACATGACTTTTGAGATTCTTTTTTACAGTTGGCGCCAAGACTGTTGTTGTCGTGGTCAACGGTGGTTGTGATAGTGCTACTGTCGAATTCTGTTCTAAATCTCCATTTGTTAAATTTGATGAAGTCAAGTATTCCGTTTCTTTATGAATAATTTGTAAACGTGTAAAGTCGATGTCAGTTAGTTGGATATCATCTAAGTTAATTCGTGATTTAATATCTTTAGCTAGTGGAAATTGGGTCACATAGTCAATGATTAAATCGCATATATCAACTGTTTTACGTCTGCTAGGTTGAGAATTTGTAATCGTCTCTTTTTTATAAAGTCCAGACATTTAGAAATCAATAATTGAATGTGGTAATAATAATAATGACGGTGTTACTTAGAATGAACTTGATGACGATGACAATCTCTGAGATATTACAAACATACTTCAATTAGTCAGTCAATTTCAGTTTAAATCACGTATCAAGGCTGTTGTCAATACAGCCAATAGCGTATGTGATTTTAAATCTGTGTTAAAGGGGCAGGTTATTATTATTACATTACAATTGAATTATTGAATAATATACATATAGGAAAATGAACCAATCAGATTCACTCTTCACTGTATACACATATGTATATATATATATTTAATATGCTTAATAATCGTTTTAAAATGAACTAATTCTAGTTGTTTTAAGGGGTCATTTAATGAATACAGGGTATAGGAATAGTATAAATGTTTATTTGTTTATTTCTCTAATGTTATAAAGAGCTAAATTCGAAATATTGATTTATGACCGCCAAGTTTAATTTTAATTAAAATCTATTTAAAATGTGGAACTAAAGTTAAAAAAAGACCAGTCATTTGATAAAATCTAAGTTATTTGAGAATATTTACTGCATAACAGAAGAATATTCGCCCTGTTAGGATTAGAGAATAGAGAAAGCTTTGATGGTAATAGGCATCAAACTCTCATCGTGATATACATGTGTATATCAGCGAAAAAAATTGTGACCAGCGGGGTTCACCAAGAGGTCGGAAGTGAGGACAAATACTCGCCAGCGATAACATTAGCTTGTGCCAGTCGTGCTATGTCGTGCGTGAATTGGCAGAAGTTAGAATTCATGGGCTGCCGGTCATTGAAGAGTCGGATCCCTCTTGGCTGAATGGACTACGGGTGGGCTTGTCTTGTAACCAGAAGGTTGTCAGTTTTGAACCCTGGCAATGCGGGGGTGGGTGCGTACTGATGAAGAGTCCGAAACTAGGTTGTTTCATTCTAGTTGTCCAGTGCTCCCAAGTTTTTCAATGGTTCTCTCCCTAACTGATGTCACCTCGTGGTGAAGTCTTGTAAGCAATTAAATCCCTGAAAACCAACACCTGAATGTCCCCTTATTGCCTAATCAGAGATGCATCATCATAGATAATCAATAAGTTTCAAAATCACTGCGTTTCCTCTTTTTATCATCATCACAGTTAGATATCAGTTCCACACTTATTGAAGATCAAATTGTACTGAAGATCTCAAGTATATATATGTGTACATTAAGTTTGTCAAACAAAATTACAATTGGTTATTTTAACTAAACAGGTGAAGATCGGTTATACAAGTCAAGAAAATGAGGTGTTAATGAAATTAGGGTAGTAACAAAGGTGATGAGTTGTTGTCACCTGCTGCTGTGTAGCCAGGTACATCGGTCTTTCGACGCGCACCCTGTCCAGGAGGATTCAAGAACACTATCCAGCCAGCATGGTTGCGAAAAGGCAATAGTGGTGCAATAAGAAGTCCGATAATTGAACACCTGGTCAACACAGATCATTCCATCTCAACAAACGCCTCCTGCTTCAAAGTAATCTACAGAGTCAAGAATAACCTATCAAAGGCAATACGGTTTCGTCTTCTTTGTATCGCTGAAGCTCTGGATGTCCATTCACATAGGAAAACCGGAGCTGTGCATGCAAAAGAAGATTACTCAACCACTTCTATTGTCATGGTAACTACTTTTTGTGATTTTGATGACTTAATTTTGTTTGTTTGCCTGTTCTTTAATTGCTTATAATTCTTGTATATTCATTTGGAACTCTTGCGCAATTTCGTATTCTCTACTTTGTTTCTACGTGCATCTTGAGTAAAACTTACTCATCAAACTATTTGTATTATTGCATAACTTCTTTTAACAGCTGTTTGTGACAACTCATCACCTATGTTACTACCCTTATTTCATTAACACCTCATTTTCTTAACTTGTATTACTAGTCTTCACCTGTTTGGTTAAAATAACCAATTGTATTTTTGTTTGACTAACTTAATGTACACATACATACGCGATTGTACAGCTAAGAAAATGAATTCGCCGCTGCCGAAAAGAGTCTCTTCGTTGATCTACGTGTTTTGTTTTCATTATTGCCTGGATGGGGATTATCCATGAATTTCACTGATAATCTGTTTAGATTCTAGTCCAGTTGGAGTAGTTCAACAAAAATAGACCGTTTGATTTCAAAAATTGTGTGGACAGCAATTTAGGTCATGAAGATATCGATTGAAAAAAAAATAACCAAATAGGCTAGAAGAAGTGAGGTTTCAAAGATTAATAATAATAATAATAATTAGTTAGTTATTTCGTGTCTGACACTATTTTCATCACATAAAATACGTGCCAAATATGGTATCTCGTGATTTTTATACTTAGACGTGTATGTTTGAAGTCTTTTGACGAAATGGCTTCATGTCCTACTTGAAGAGATCCAGCAAGGTGAAAGTTGTGGGTAAAGTGGATGTCCACAGTCTGACAAAATCCCTTTAGCAAATTTATTGCATGAAATTAAGTGCCTTTCATCAGGGACGATGTCAACCATAATAATAATAACACTGACAATTCATTAGCTTAAGTCTTGAATTTTCAACCCATACATACACATACCGACGACCACAGACAGTGTCACCAATGTAAGTTAGCAAGTTCACGTGACCTTCATAGCATTAAGCGACATGTGACTCATTATGATATTAGATGGTTGGAGGTAATCGGCCACAGGAAGCCCTGGATCCAGGTTTCGTACTGGTTGGCACTCACCAGTCAGCAAGGCGTATCTGCAACCTTGAAGGGACTCATGGCCCTCCCGCGTCACCCAGTGCTGCCTGCAGTCAGAGACGTTACCACTGAGCTATTCACGTTCGCGATTGGCCTTCTGTAGAACTGTGGTGGATGTTTTGATTTGACACTAGTAACTAATGTGATGTGTCTAGTCCTCTCATTGTTCTCTCGTGAGCTACCTAGAATGGTGGCCACGCTACAATCTGACTGATAGCATTCAGTCTGCACACGTGACTCATTATTTAAAACAACAGAACTTCAGATCAGCGACTGACAAGAAACTTTGCGCTTGTCCAGAAGTTCACAGAATGGATTTTTTTCTTAAGAAGCTGGCATATACAATAAACATTCTGATGGTTGTATTTTATCATGGTTGTTAAGCTGTGCAATCCCACACTGTCCTTGGATTATCGCGTCATCACCTCTTAATTACCACGACTTCATTGCTGTTTCATTGAGGATCGATGTCTGCTTAAATGATCAATGAATACTAAGGATTACGGAAAATGCTCCATCTAACCATCTTCATTAAAAAGTTAAGACAGTCTGGAATTACTCAACCTTTACTTTTAACACTTGCATCTTACCTGTTATTCTTTGTAACTGCACTTTAGTTTTATTTGGGCTACTTAAAATAGAATTACATCATATTGCTGAGGGTACTAAAGGTTGTTAGTAGGGTAATTGTGTCATTTAGTCAGCTCGTTACTATTGTAGTCGACAGAGACAGGAACTCATGTGAGAAATGGTCTAATTTCATATTGTCTAATATTCAACACCCTCCTTACTCTCAGCTCTCCCCACCTTGCATCTTATCAGGTAGGTCGAGAAGTCATTATAAAAGATTATATGTTCAGTTGAACAACCAAGTATAAAGATTTAATGAAACCTTATTTGGTCCTCCCTTGTTTTGTTTGATAAAGATAGAGTTAAACGTGAACTTTACCACTTCTTGCGTAATCAGCTTAAAAGTGGCTGAGTTGTTCTCCGGTATTTGTAATTTTATCGTGACACCATCCCCATTATCTCATAATGTTGTGTTATTAATTCATTTCTCATTATTTCTCATTCCTGTCCCCATTGGAACATAGGGCTCCAAACTAGAGGCTTGAAGTTTCGGTAGCAGTGGCGTTTATTTTTATGGGACGGGGTTGCTAGTCTCATGCCCGATCTTCCCTCTTTACCAGTCTAATTACTGGCTTAGTGAGGTGAAGGAGTGCGTCCACCGAAGATCGAACCCTGGACCACATGTATGATTGGCCAGTGTTCTACAAGTGAACCACCAGTGTAAGTCAACATTTCCACCGTATTCTCCTTGATTTCAGAGTGATCCCTTTAGGTATCAGTTTTTGAGGATGACATATATCAACCCCATAGGAATTCATAAATAGAGGTGATCTGAACGTGTAACTGGTCCCCAACTACTTATATCAATCAGTAGTATATAGAGAACCTTGAAAATTTGTTTTCTATTTGAATTTTCATTAGTTGTAACAAGCAGATCACATTTTTCAATTTAAGCATTTCAAATCTCTTACAGTTCATAAACTCTTGCATCCTACCTATTCTTCTTTATTGTTCACCCTTATTCTTTCCTGGTTTGCTTAAAAAGGACTATGTCACAATTCGTAGAATGCTGAAAACGGTCAGCAGGGTGAGTGGTGTCCCAGTGGACCACATAGTTAACATCGTTGTCGATAGGCACTTGACTTCGTGCAATAAATTTGCTAGAGGGATTTTGTATGACTTGGAGCATCCACTTTACCCTCAGCTTTCACCTTGCATCTCCTCAGGTAGAACAAGATTTAACTTCAGAAAACTGTATGCTCGCACGTCTAAGTGTAGAACTTCTATGATACCATACTTGGCACGTATTTTAAGTGATGAAAATAGTGTTAGGCAAGAACTAACTAACCTTTTTTCATCTAGTAAATAAACAATTTCCTCCATCCATCCATCCTTATATACCTTCAAGTTTCACTTCTATTATTTCTATTATATTTATGGTCGTGTTGCTTCTTTGTTTTACTCTCATAATTTCAAACACCAACTTATCTCCATGACGGCTGTAATCTTTGTTTTTCCCCTCACCATCACCATCATGTAAAGAGAATGTTATATTCAATATTTTTAAACATGTTAGGATTTCTATACCACATTGCCAATACTGTGTGACACAAGCCAACGGCAATTTTCACTTGTATTCTTATTATTATTACCTTAGCTGTTATCATTATTATTGTTATTTCCATT